CCGACCATATGTTGTCTACGACTAGCAAGAAGTTCTTTACGACTAACGAAACGCATCGCATCAAGCATCGCCAACATCATCGAAATCCTTTTTCATCGCTCCACTTGACCAAAACATGTACATAACAATATAAGCCGTATATGACTCAAATACTGCAGAAATTAAACCAGTACCTAGAATTTAAACAGGCGTATTTCAACCAATGGTGTGAGATATTTGCAAAACTATGGACCGCACGTGTCTGCGATGGGGAACGAACCCGCTATTACCCCTTCCTGGGGATAACACGTTCACACCACACAATGCGGGTCCTTCGTTTCGCCTGTCTCTCAGCTTGTTTTCTATCTACCAATGCCTTAAACAACCACTCATCAACAAGAGTGATCTGAAGAGCCCACATCGGCATTAAACCCAGTTAAGCTGAGACTACAGTCGAAATGTTAACTTCTTATTTACTGGCTATAATAATTTTTCATGGCAGGGTATTATGCGTAATCATTTATATTACATTATTAGACATATTTCAGTTTGTCACGAGTTGCATGAATTCAAATAAAACCAAACATGCTATATACAAATTTTCCAGGGTATCGAACTATGTATGAAAGTTTACACCTCTGCACGACCTGCGTTAAAACAACCTCTGAGTCACTAGCGTGCTGCATGGACAACTACCGATTTTAGTGCTTGAAGGACCCTACGGTTGACTAATTTACAATTAGTTGACCGTTAAAACTCAATTAACAATAGATGCTTCTCAATAATTGAATAATATTTTAGTAAAGAGTATAAACATAATCTCGTCAATTTTTATTTAACGCCTACTATTTTTTTCATTGGCAGGGTATTATATGAAATATAACCACAATAATGCAGAGATATTTGCAAAACTCCGGACTGCTGGTGCCTACGGTGGGGATCGAACACGTTGTTATCTTTTCCGGGGACTAAAGCGTTCCCCATCACACCGTGCGAGTCCTTCGCTTCGTTTTCTCACAGCCGTTTTATTCACCTATAAGTGCTATCAGTAATCACACGCCACCGGGATTGATCTGGGAAGCACAAATCAGCAATGAACCCAGTTAAGCTGAAGCTGTGGCATAAATCATAATGTTGATAATTTTTATTGACGGGTGATTGCTAATGGCACCTTTCGGTCAGTCAATAACATGGCTGAGAGAAAAACGAAACGAATGACTTGCATGGTGTGGTGGTGAACGCGTTAGCACCCGAAAAGAGTAACAACGTATTCAGTCCCAACCGCAGACATCTGTCGTCCGGAGTTTTGTAAATATCTCAGCATCATTTTATACATAAACATAATTAGAAGGCAAACACCTAAGTGGTAGTGATGTTTACCACCATGAGCACGGTGTTGGCTCGATCCCGCTCCGGGTTCACCAAATCTCTCGCTCTTCCGGTCAGAAAATTGGTACCGGACTTGTCTGAGAAAGGCTCACACTCTGCAGTTCAAGTGGAAACGCTCTAGTCTACCTGTCTTAGACTCCAGGGAGAATCAATTCTACCAACATTCAACGAAATTCATTACAAAAACGAAAAATGATCAAACAGCAGGCGAAGTCGCACGCAAAAGTTGAAAGATTTTCGTGGATGGTGGATGCGAGGAAACGAATTGAATGTGAGATGTGCTGGGATCCGCATTGTAGATGTGAAAGAAGGGACGTATTAAACAAAATAAGAAATAAATATGATTTCAACAAGTATCACGATGACCACTACAATTTCTAAAAATTGGTAGAAACGGATAAAGATTACAAAAAAGATTTTAAAAAAAACTTTAAACATTGCTATCTTCCCACAACTCGGTCCACATTCTAGTATAGTAGAAGTTTATACCTATTACGAATTCAAAAGATCCCAGCACAAAAAGAAAACCCACGTAACAAAGCGTTTAGTGTAAACGTTACCTACCCAGTAAACAATAATATAACTACTCACTGAAAGATTTACATCTACAGCGTCCGTAAACAAAAATTTAGCACGAGAACTTAAATAATTGGCATATTTCCACTAAAACCTCTAGACCAACTTAGAACCTAAAGGATGGATCGAGAATGAGAAGTACTGGCTTGTATATGACCTCATTTTTCATCAATTCTAATAACGAATTGTCATTTTCGGTACAAACCTGACTAACAACATCCATCATTTCTTCAGTTTGTGGCGGATCTTCACTCATGTGTTGTCGATAACGATTGGCGATCATCTCAATAGCAGCTATCCACTGTTCACGAGACTTCAAAAGAACAAATGAGGTGGATGATTTCGGCACAATGGGTCTCAAACGTAAAATAAGATAATAAAAATCTCAAAAAAGTCCGTCAAAGATTCACATGTGGAAAAAAGGAAGGATTCCACAAATGAAAGACAACAGGTTAAATTTTCAGAGGAACCATAGAAGAGTTTTTGAAAATCAGATGAATACTAACATACCTCTGCGGTTTCAGCATAGAATGTTCGCTCTATTACAGTGGTCCATTGAAGGCATCGAATCATGAACATGTTCGGACGTGGTTTTTCATAACGGATAGCCTAAATCATTCAAATCTTCTTTCTCACATCGTCTCAAATTGTTTTACAAACTCGCACAGCTCAATATGATCAGTTAATAAGATTGTATAAATAAAGACATCGAGTAATTATGCTGAGAATTATAGAAAATCGGTCTTTTGAGTTCTTTCACAAACTATAGCGCAATCTCGCTTCCCATTCTCTTGTGACTACGACATGATGGTCTAAATTCTTTCACCTCATACATCCCCTACTTCCCACACATGTGACCAGGATAAAGTGTCCTACAGGTCTGTAAAGCTCTCAGACCCTCAAATACTCTACTGCACGAGAAATTACCGTCAGTTGTCGAAAGACCACTATCGGCGCTATGTGTTACATAAGATGTGACTTAAAACAATAAAAAAACAGACTCGTTCTCTCCTGGATCATGTGGAGAGGGAAGAACATTAATTAATTAATTAATTAATTGTGACAAGGAAAAACTTATATCTTTTCAACATCACAAAGCTCTATTCGTCATTCCGAGCTGTAGCCATACGTTAGCATCGAGTAAATGAACACGGGAGAATAACTAGAAGATTGAACATCCACCGTTTTAATCGTTTCTCAGCAGTTGAACAAGAGTTTATAATATGGAAAATGCCCCGACAAGGTATTTATGTTATGTCGCAGACTTTTAGTGATACGTCAAAAACTTCGCACCAGATTTTAATTTTTAGACGTTTCGTAGAAAATGAAAACATTGCAAAAGAAAAATACTCCTTTAACAGTAAATACACCTACCTACCTACATGAATAGACCATATTTACGCTTTCACAAACGTTCTCAGCATGATACCAACACCACGCAATATTTGCCGCCTTCATTGAAATATCATTACAATCGGAAGAATTTCGCGTCCTCAAAAAACGTGTCTCAACCTTAGAATACTACACACACCAGAGTTGAAGAACACGTGTGGCTAGCGACATGCTAGGAATCATTTCATAAAAATAAATAAAGCTCGCGGCGTTGATCAATCTCTGAAGGAAGCGCCATGCATTCGACTTCATTGGGCATCGCTGGAGGTGACTGAATGCATATCTGGTTTTTACAATGACTCGCGCTGGTCTACCGATGCATAGAGCCAGTGCTTCTACCCTCCCAGACAAGTCTGGTACCAATTTGCCGACCCTGGAGAGATGAAAGGTTTGGTGAGCCTAAGCCGCAGGCACAGACACCATGTGTATTGCTGAGCGTCTCCGACCAATGCGCCACACGTGCCCTCCGGTTTCATTGCTCCATATCTGCTAGCATACACAAACCCATTGCTTGGCCAACTAATTTTCAGTAGCCTGCAATCGAATCTGCTGCTTAGTTGTCAGTCTTTACAACTAATGACATATCTACACTTTGAAAACATGCTGATAGCCATATGTTAGTCACAGAAATGGTAACAGCGCGTTCGTTCCCCACCGCAGACACCTGCGGTCTGGAGTTTTGCAGATATCTCAGCATTATGGTGGTTGTATCACGCATAATACATGCCGTGAAAAATTGTAACAAGCAGTAAACAAAGGGCTAACATGTCGATAAATTTATAACGAGTTCTCCAAACGATGTCAGGTTGACTGTCAAAACACTTGAGAAATACGTCTTCCCTCAATCTTCGAATAGTAGACGAACTTTGTGGCAGTAATTTATAAGGAAACTACTTCTATTGCATTTTTCTAATTAAACTTCTACGCTAAAATATATAACGAACTTCAAATAGAAGATGTTTAGATCTCCAAGTTTAATGCATCACTAAAAAATGTTGCCAATTTTCGCCGAATATCCAGCTACTCACTAAAACCTACTATTTACGATGGCCATGAAGATAAATGATAAAATGCGTTGGAACCGAATTCTCTAACTACAAAAATGAGTTTAAGCAACACTTCTTAAATTAATTACGAAGCCATAATTAATAATTAATTAGTCAGCAACTGGAAAAGTAATTAAACTGCAAATTTCTCGGAGAAAGGAACTAACTACTCGTACGAGTACAGTTCCATAACACAGTACATATAGTAAATAATAGCATATAAGTGAAAATGGATCTTATAAATCATTTTTCAGGAAGATACAAAATCTGTTAGAGAACTAAACCTAAAAAAAACCATAAAAACCATTAGTATCCAGAAAATACCTAAAGAACTACTGTGAATTCTCTGTGCGTCTAAAAGAAAACCATAAACGGCACGTTTTCAGTATGAATCAAATATGCTTAGTTAAGAATCTTCCTGTTTCTAAGGCAAGACGTCTAAGTAAGTTAAGTTCTAAGGTCTAACTAAGTTCCGATTAAGTTTCGTGTTAACTTACTAAGTTAATGAAGTTCTTATCTCATTACACGTGATATTCAAGCAGATAGATCGAATCTTGATTTCCTCAAAAGCTCACGAGGAAAAATCCTTCTGCACAAAAAAATCCTAACGAAAGGTATTTAACAGAAAGCACATAAGCATTTGTGACAAACCTGTGCGTCTTTGATCATGAAATCGTTCAAAGGTTCCGGAAACGGCCGATCCATTTTTGGTTTTGTTTTAAAACCCAATAAGGCTCCATCATGAAACAATATGAAGTATCTAAATTAGTAATCCGACGAAGTTCTTTGTCAATAATAAAGTTTTTATTAAATGAGGACGATGCTTACATAACAGTGCGAAAAATAACATTTATAGATCGATGGGACTTCAATGGACCATAAAAAAACTGACTTCTGATTCCAAGAAACCCTCGAGAAAATAACGTACAGCCTATCCATGCAAAGCGTTCATAGATATTATTTAGTACTTTCTTCAGCACTGATTGTCACAAACCTCCCAATGGTTTCCAGCCTTGCAGTAGCTGGGACGTATTCCCGGGTGTCGTGCTGCGATGAACAACAGGAATCCTTCCAGCATGGCGTCCCAAGCTGAGGAGTCCAGCGTTTCCATTAGGAGGCATAGCTTAGAGTAAAGTAGTACCAGGATCCACCACCGTCCTGCTATCAAACCAGAAGCGTGGTGGCAAATTTCTCTTTGATCCACAGGGGCGGCGACTGCTTGTGATGGTGACGACTTGGAGCAGAATTTTGCCTTGTTGACCTCGAGACTCCAGAGAACCACAATGGCAAAACCATCAAAACTCCGAAAAAATGGAGATTATGCTGGGGCCCGCACAACCAGTGAGGATGGACCATTCAATTACCTAAGTAAAGTAAGTAATTGCCACAAGTAATGGCTTTACACTGTTACAAATATAGGGAAATTGTTTGCGAAAAAAATATATTCAGTAGGAACTTAAATTCTGTTGGAAGTATCTGAAAAACAATCACATAAAGGACAACAAATCGTTCACAATAACAGACCTTGGTCGCCAATTTCTTATATGTTCGCCTTTCTTATGCAGCCAACCCTCAATAACGATGTCTTCCGAACGTCGTGATTTCGTGCTCAGACTGGTCATCGACATGATCGTCACCGAATCCTTAAGAACTACGAGATAGATTTACTCATTATGTTAATGAGAACTTCACCAATCACCGTTAAGTAAGATATCGAATGAAAGGAGGTGAGTAAATATCAACTTCGGTGAGAAAAACGCTATCGCATTCTTATGAATGGCTATCTGTGTAAAGAACATTAATGTTGGATATGCATAAAATTGTGAAAATCAATAAAATCCTATAAAAAGGACGTACTAGAAGCGAAGGACTAACCGTATATAGATGGAATAACTAGTGCTTGCAATGGGAATGCAATGGGATAATCATGACCAGAAATTCGTCCTGAGGAATATCAAAAGCTGAACTTACTTTCGGGATGACTGCAACATTTCATATCTGTTAACGCCCTATTCAAAACTGTCCATACAGCAGGTAATAAAACCTATCAGCTTCAAATGAGTGTATACGGATATTTTAAAAGGAAATGGACTTTGACCTCGTGAAATAGATGAGTAAACAACTAAACAACATTTGGAAAGTAACAGTATACATCGGCGTTCTCCTTTTGGTGGACAACTCTTATGACTTCTGATCTCGTAGGTTGTTTTTCTCGTTTAGAATGCGATAAGACAGCGCTTAATTGTTGACATTGTCTCCTTCAATTGTGGACGAAATCAATAACACATGTAACACATTGTCTCGTTTGAACTATGGGTCATCGAGTTACTCTTCTATCCTATATTATCCACACTCAAAGACTCTAAGGTTACAAAACGGACCAAAGAACGGAAATCACTTTACGCACTGGATCTATCTTTTCCCTTATATGCTTCCTTCGTTGTAACTCTCATCAAACAACTACGTTAAGAAACTAATCGATGAGATTTAAAATACAAAAAAAAGTTGTTTTTATCTGCAAAAAGGCACTAAACACAACAAAAACTACAGCATGTGACGTCCATAGCTTCAAGAGTACTTACTAACAGAAACTACCATAGGGCTAACTTTTTAGTTTCTGCCTGTACAATTTTCATGGCAGGGTATGATACGAAATACAACCACAATGCTGCTGAGATATTCGCAAAACTCCGGACCGCAGGTGTGTGCAGTGGGGATCGAGCACGCTACTACCCTTTTGTGGGGCTAACATGTTCACCACAACACTATGCGGGTCCTTCGTTTCGCTTCTCTCTCGGCTAGGAACTACCATACCTCCAATAATAAACAATAGCTAGCGTAAAATAATACTGTAAGGTACAAAACCCTGAATGTAAAATAACGATGATAGTGAAATTCATCAGTTGATAAAGTAAGACAAAATTAAACATCATACTCTAAATAGATACTTTCTAAAGAAATCATTAGAACAGGAAAGAAATCTGACGGGTGATTGCTGATGACAAAAGATCGATAGAACTTGCTGAAAGACAGGCGAAACGAACGACTCGCATGGTGTGGTGGTGAACCCGTTACTCCCTGGAAACAACAATAGCGCGTTCGTTCCCCACCGCAGACACCTGCAGTTCGGAGTTTTGCAAATATCTCAGCATCATTGAAGTTATATTTCGCTAAATATACCCTGTTGTTAAAAAGAGTAAGCAGTAAATAATAATGTTTTGATTGCTGTGGCAAAAAGATCGATAGAAATAGCTGAGAGACGTGCGAAACAAAGGACCCGCATGGTGTGGTGGTGAACGCGTTACTCCCCGGAAAGGATAATAGCGCGTTCGTTCCCCACCATAGACACCTGCGGTCCAGAGTTTTGCAAATATCTCAGCAACATTGTGGTAGTAAATAATAAGTTAAAAGGAAAGAAATCACTGCTTTTGAGGAGTGAGCAGAGAATTCCAGACATTCAGTGGTAATGAAAGTAGATAAGCCTGAATAGTAATGCTTCTCGTAATGACGTGAGATTCATAAACAGGCTATTCAGTACAACGTGGACCTAATAAGGAGACGTCTTCTTATAAAAACACTTGGTAAAAACTTACAGTTCTATCACGCCTACTACTATTACCGCAGCAGACTGTAGAGCAAAGTAAAATCACGAAGAGGTGGAAGAAATCAAAGACTAAGCCTTCAAAAGAAGAAAAAAAAACGAAGAAAATGACTGAAAACAGGAAGCGAAGAAAGTGAAAGGAAGATGACGTCGCTTGGAATCGAGAGCAGCTCGACGGACGGACACCGTGGACACCGCCGACGCGGCCGACTCAAAAGAACATATTTTCCGTTTTCGATCGATACTCACACAATCCATCGCGCGCAATAACAAAGCACACTCGAAGACATACAAACACACGCGCACAGACATACATGCACACATACACAGACATATACAGACACAAGCACACACACACCGATACATACACACCCACCAATGCATACAGTCGCATGCATACATTCAGACCTGCACGCACACATACATGTACATATATATATATGTATATAATAGATATACATATACATATGTACATATACATGTATACACATATACATATACATATACATACATACACACATACATACATACAGACACACATGTATATGTATGTAAATATATGAGACATATATATATGTGTATACGCCCACAAACACATGCCCATACTGAAACAAACACATGCGCTCTTACATACATGGACACGCACCGACACACCGATGCACACACGTATATAGACACGTACACAAACGCACCTGTTTATACACACACCCATGCACACGCATACACACAGATGCGCATCCGTCCCTCGGCTAGTTAAGACACGATGCAGGTTGTCTCGCAGACAGCACAGCCTTCAGGACCGCTCGGACAGGACAAGTCGTTTCCTGAACGGCAGAACAGCCCGTTGCAACCGCTGGCACATCGTGCCCATTAATGCGTTGAAAGCAAGATCGCGTAATTTTAGGTGTTCTACCACGAACGGTCGGCACTCTCTTCTACGCATGTTTTTACATACACACTTTCTTACACATTTCTAAAGGCCGAATTTCCTTCAACTCATTCGCAATGATATGAGCATTACAGTGTCCATGCGTGGCTGCGCGAGTGGACAATATGAATGCAGTGGTGGTCGTTGTCAGTTGCGTGGGTTCCAGAAAATTTTTACCGTATTATATATATCCATTCTATAGCTAGTCAAACGCAGATCAAAATAGTTGGTGTGAGGCCAGAAAAGCTATTCTCTACACATAATGATTCATAATAAACATTTTTTCCCGAAAAGTTCATCAGTCAGTCATCTAACTAAATTGACTAATTTCTCATTTTCATCGCCATTATTATTGCATGAATTTTGCGAATATAAAAATACCGAAGTAGGCTCAACGTAAGCAGTAGAATGCTTCCAAACTCCGATAAGAATGTATTTAGCTCAATATGAATAATCAATATTTTCTTAAATGATTAAGGTATCGGAAAGTTGTTATAAAACTTTTAATCGGGTATCGTTTTGATGTCTTTCCTTTCTTCAGAGCCGCGTTGGCTCGAGTCGATGCTCCACAGCTGGTCGTTGTCACGAAGTTCGGTACAAGCTTCTTGGATACTTACTTGAATACATGGACGGTTCGTCTTCACGAGTTGTGCGGACCCCGGCACATGTGCCATTCGTTCCTTTCTCTCGCAATCGTAGTCCATGGTGGTGGTCTTGTTCGAGCATGGTAGCGCCTGCGAGTCTCATACCGTGATCTCTAAAACAACTGCAGTTGCGGGTACAGCTGATTAACTTTGTTTACGAACACGTCCGCCTAATGTGTAGGTGGTCCTCCAAGGGGACGTTTGCATTCTCTCGGAGTCCACTCTACTGTTCTTTTCGTCCATCTGTCGTCTGTTCTTCTCATTATGTGACCGGCCTATCTATGTTTCGCTGTCGATGTACATTCTCCTGGATCTCAAGGATGTGAGATTTCGAAGGTCAGAGCTTGCATTCCGGCTAGATATTGAGAGTGCTGGTTATACTTCAAAAGAAATCGCTCAAGTGTTCTGTGAGTAGTGCGAGCATTCTTCACGTGGCTAAAGTATCAAGCCACGTCTCTGCAGCATAACAGAGCGCTGCGAGGACCGTAGAATCGAAAAGATGAGCACGGATTTTCGGGTCTTTCAGTTGGTCGGTGGCTTGTTTGAGAATGCGGCCCCAGCTGCTCTCCTCCTTCTATCTAATTCCTTTTTCATGTTGTTTTCCATGTTCATTGATCGCCCAAGGTAAACGTATGAGGTGGTCTCTGCAATGAGAGAGCCATCCAATTCAATTTTTTCGCCTTCGCACTATGGGTTTTTCATGAACTGGGTCTTTCGACTTGTGCGAAGTCCGATCTTTTCCCCGCTTCGTTGAGCTCGTTGATCAATACTTCTGCTTCGCTAGTACTTCTTGAGAAAATGGTAATGTCGTCGGCAAAACGAACGTTTGATAGGAATTTTCCATCAATACGTATGCCTTTCTCATCCCAATCAAGTGACTTCATTATCCACTGCGATACGGCACTGAACAGCTTTGGCGGTATTGTGTCGTCCTCTCGAACCCCTTTTCCTATGGGTATTGTAAGAGGTCGATGAAGAAGTTGTATTTTCGTAGTGCAGTTCCGATAACGGTCGGACAGAGTCCTTATGTAGGACAGATCCACTCCTAGGTCGACGAGCGCTGATAGGATTGCATTCGTTTCGCCACTGTCAAACGCTTTTTCATAGCCGACAAAGGTTAGGACTAGAGGCAAGTGGTATTCCCGACAAACTTCCAACAAACCAATGACCCTGGACACGGTTTGGATGTGGTCCATGCAGCAAGATCCTGTTCAAAATCCAACTTGCTCGACTGGTTGCGCGTCATCCAATGTCCTTAATATGTGCGAGAGGATAATCTTCGTGAAGAGCTTATAGAGTACACTTAACAAGCATATGGGACGATAGTTACGAAGATCCCTTCAGTCTCCTTTCTTGGGCAAGATGACAGCGCGCGACGTCCTCCACTGGTCTGTGAATTTTTCCTTTTAAAGGTAGAATGTCATATAGTTGCAAGAGGTACATGTAAGATGTGGC